CTTCCTCCCAGAGGCCCCCTGGATGAGGCCAGCCGTCCACTTCCTATGTCAGTGCCAAGCCTCATGGACTGGCTCCTCCGACCTCAGCTGGGCCATCAACACCAGCCACCAGCTGACTCCACGTGAATTCCCTTCTCAGTTCTGCTCTGCATCCTCCTGATTCCCCTCATGCCCAGCCACCTACCGGTCCTGCCTCCAGGGAGAAAACAAATCTACCAGATGCCAACGACCCTGAGACCGGGGTGTGTGCAGGAGTGGGCGGCTGCGGGCTCCCACCATGCTGAGCCACCCCAGTGGGGCCGACTGCAGTGTGTTGCCATCTTGTGGTCACATGCCCACATTGCAGGTGTAATATGAGGCCAACCAGGAGAGAATTTGGGGGACACGAGGTGTGGGATGGAGTGTAGGGCTGGGGGTGTCTTAACGATGGATGAGAGGAGGGTTTTCACAGGGTGAGGACAGAGAAGTGATGGGGGAAAGGAGGAAAGGGAATTCTGGAGTTGAACAAACAAAGATGCAGAGGGAACATGAAGGCCCCAGCAACAAGGGCAGAAGGTAGGACCTAGAGAGTCAAGAAAGTAGGGAAGGGGGGAAAAAAAACAAAAGAAACAAAAAACTCAGACTGGGCTCCTCAGCAGAGCCTAACCATCCATTTGGGTTTGGCTGACAGCTCTTTCTCCACTTGCGTGTTCAATTTTATTATAGCTAGCATTTATTGGGGTCTTGTGCCAGGCTCTCTTGTAAGCCCCATTGTTTAACTCATTTATTCCTTAATGCATGTTTATATGTAGGTGTTACATCATCATGACTTTGTCCATGAGGATATTAGGCACAGAGGGGTTAAGTAACTTGCTCAAAGTCACACAGCTAATAATAAGTAGGACCCCATGCAGCCTGGCTCCAGGGCACCTGTGTGAATCTTTGCACCATCCTCCCTCTTGGGGCTGCCTTCAGGTCACCAAGGATAAACATCTCAAAGGAATTCAGGAAATGTCTTCTTGGCTGAGCACAGAGTAACACAGAAGCAGCAGAATGAACAGGAAGCTTGGATCCAGAGAGGGAATGCTCAGTCTGAATCCTCCTCTGGCTCAACCACTCACCAGCCCTGCAGGGCTGTTTCAAGAATTCAAAGGGATCATTCCCAGGGAGGTTCTGTGCAAAGTGCCACATGCGCGCCACACACACACACACACACACACACACACACACACACACACACACACACACCTATCTCTGTCGGGGGAGGACAGACACTAACACAGCCCACATTAGGCCTGGCCAACATCATTTCATTCAGCACACGCTCCAGTAGCTGGTGTGTGTCTCCTTGGGCCCCAGAGATACTTTGGCTTTGACCTCACACCGATGGCTGGTATTGGCACACTCATCTGACAGATGAGGCAGCTGAGGTTCAGAGGTGTTAGGTGACTCGCCACAGTCACACAGCAGGGAATGGCGCAGCTGTGTACTGCTCCATTCTGCTCCTGAACCTTGGGGCATTTGTAAAGGGGGGACAGTAACCCAGGAGGCCCTCAGGAGATGGAGCCTCAGCCATTTCAGGATTAAAATGATCTCAAATGAAAACAGCCAGAGGCAGCACCAACACACGACCCTTGCTGAAAAACAACAAACACACCCAAACGATAAAATAGGTCTTTTTTAATTCACTTTGATTTGGATCATTGGAAATATTCAACAATAAATAAAATAGAACAGGAGCCCAGGAAGGCCGACTCTTGCTACCGTCATTCAAAATGCATCCTATGAGCAGCTGCAAAACAAACACAGAGAAGCGAAGCGGAACGGGAAGCAAATTTTAAAACACCAACAACCAAGCAGACAAGACTGCAAAGAAGAAAAAGTGCTCAAGAAACTTTGGCTTTGAGGGGAATTCAGTGAAATACAAAAGCAATTGTGCAGGAAGGGAATGAACCCACGGTCATCCTAACGTGGCAGGGGATTCCTGACGCAGGCTCGGGGGTTCAAGCTGGAGTCCTGGCCCAGGACCATTGGCAAGTGGCAATCAATGGCAGTTTTGTGCTATGACAGAAGCTGAGTGATGGAACTGAGTGCAACCCGAGTGCGGATCGTCTGATGGGCTGGGAGGGAGAACAGGCTGGAATCAGGCTCACTCCCTGTAGGAAATTCAGTGCTTTTTTGGTAAGGAAAAAAAAAAAAGTTGCTAATGCCCTGAAATTGACAAACTGGGAGATACTTCTCCGCCTGTTGCTGCCTTTTCCTCCCAACTCTCCCTTCTTTTCTTTGCACGGGTGTCAGGTAGCACCCAGGGGTGCGGGGGGTGTTTTCACTACAAACAAGAGGAGAGTTGACCCTCAAATCTGGCTAGCCCAGACCACAGGGAGGATAAGCAGCCTGGCGTGGGGACACGATTGCTGCAAGCCAGATGACCGCAATGGACACGACGACATCCCTGAGTGCTTCAGAGGGGCAAGGACAGTGGCTGATGTCACATGGCTGGCATCCAGCCACCTTCAGCTGGGCAGTGGCCACTCAGGGCTTGGGCTTCTCTGCAGAAAGCATTTCCCATCATAACCAGGCAAGGGAGAGTGGGTTCTTTCCTGTTTTCCACTTTGTTTTCAGGCTACCCTGACTAGAACAATAAAAGCAAACATCACAGTTCTAAACGTTCCCTGTGGTTCTGTCCCACCTTGGACCCAGAAGCCCCCTTCAGGATTGGGCAGGACTGGCCTTCAGCAGAGACTGCAGTTCCATCTATGGCTCCTAATCCGCCCTTTCCCCAAATCACCCAGATCCAACCTGCCCTCTCCACTTTCTTATCTGCTTTTCCTGTTTATGTTCTATCTTTTCGTATCTGGCTTCTTCCACTAACCCCAGCCCGTGGTTTGCTGGATGGTGCCTGACAAAGCCATTTCAAAAGGTGTCCATTTGAAAACTTTCTTCTTTGTCCCGGATTCCTCCAGGGAGCCAGGGGCTACAGATCCATCCTCCTTTCTCCCCTAACAGGTGGGTGAGGGCAGGGGAGGGCCATGCAACCCCAGCTGTAGGAAATCAGCCTCCTGGCTCGCTGGGGGACCCCACAGGGTGGGTGTTATATGAAATCGCTTGGGCTACCCTCATCAGCCCTTGCCTTTGAGGCTTCAGGTTCAGCCCCATGTGCAGCAGGCAGGGACTCTCCTGCTCCCTGCCCAGAGCCCAGAGCTGGGGTCCAAGGAGCTCTGCACCTGTGGAGTGGATCGAGCCCTGAGCTGGGATTCAGGCCCTGAGGGAGCACCCTGCCATTGCCTCAACTGGTGCATTTAACCCTGGCCACAATGACTGGCTTTTATTCAGTTAAGTACACTGTGCTAAGACAGTGGGACACAAGGAGATGTCTGTGGGGCTAAGGGAAAGAATACTGTCTCTTCCAGAGGACCATGTGGGCACCCTGAGAAGGAGCTAAGTGCTGAGAGGCAGAACAGAGACTCAGTCACCCACTTTTCAGTTACATTTTTTCACGATGCGGGGAAAGCCCATATCTGGATATTTTAAACATGGAACCAATAACATCCTATTTTTGTTCAACGTCTTTGACCTGTTCTGTCTTTTAAGATGGGTTCACTCTCCTTCTCTGGGCCTTGCTTTTCTCATCTGTAAAACGGGAGAGCTGAATTTGCTGGGCCTGAAGATATCTCACAGCTTGAACATGGGGAGGGAGAGAACAGACTGACCAGGCAACTGACCTGGGCTGCATCCGGCTCAGATATGGACACATCTGCACTTTGAGGACCTGTTCTCACTCAGCAAAACCCAAAGAAGTAGATTGCTCAACCCGAACTTCCTAATTAGACTCAGCTTGTGGGAGAAGGGAAGAGTTCAGCAATCGACACTGCTCCCTGTGTCACTGCTCACTTTTCTCCAGTTTGTCCCCAGGATTAACCGCCAACTGACAAATGTGTACAGAGGTCTTCACGTCAGCACACTGTGAGGTCCAGCCTTTGAGGACGTCTGCCCAGAGTTATGACCTCACAGCAACCTACCAGCCTCTATCAGTCAAAAGAGTCATAAGGTTTAGAGAATTTTTTTTTTTTTGTCTTTTTTCGTGTCCGGCAACGGATCGCAGCCCTCAGTGTCGCGCCCGTACTGGACCGGGACCGGCAACGGGATCGCAGCCCTCGGTGTTGCTCCCGCACCTCGCTCAGCCAGTGAGCAGGAACCGGTCTCCACATGGGATCCGAACCCTCGGCGGGAGCACCACTGTGCTCCCAAGCGGCGCACTGTAGCAGTGCGCCTCCGGGCTGGCCCTGGTTTAGAGAATTTTAAAGCTGCAACAAGTTTTGTTTTTTGTTTTTAAACTGGATTCTGAATATTTGAGAATCTAATAAACAATATGGAAACTCTCCCCAGAAAAATGTTTATATGCAGACTCTGGGGAAAAAACAACTTTGGTGTACAACTCCTGGGGACTCTTGTGAATGGCCGGAAGCCATCTGTGGCCTGAGCCCCCCTTCCCAGGTTCCTGTAATCCCTCCCTCCCAGTTTTCAGAGGGGGACCCTGTGCTGGGGAGAGCAGGTCTCACATCTTCTTCCAAGACTGCATCCATCCCACTCCACCAGGAAAATGTCACCCCCCCACCCACCCAAAGCAGCAGTGGCTTTTATGGAAATGCTTTCAACAGAAAAAGTGGTTTTTCTGATTAAACATCAGTAACCAGAGCTGACGATCTGATGCCTGTGGCTCACGCCTCTCTACCTGGCCCCAGTGGGGTTTCACTGAGTTCTGCAGATTCCCTAGCCTGAGAATGAACTGACGTGCACAATGAGAAAGAAGGCAGGCGGGCCGGAAGCGAGGCAGCACAGGGCATTTCACAAACCCTCCAACCTGCCATCACGGGATCGCCCACCAGCAAGCCCACACACCCTAGACACCCCCAACACCCCATGGCCGAGGAACCCTACGACCATTCTTTAAGCTCCGCGTTCCCCAGCTACTGGTGAAGCAAGAGCAAGCTTGATGAAAACACCAGGACCAGCAACAGAGCCCCAGAGTGCACACAATGTTGGTTGAATTTTTAAAAAATCAATAAATAATCAGGAAGACTAAAGAGGGAAAAAGAGAGTAGATGGGGAGTGAGAAGATGAGGTATGTGCCAGTCACCGTTGTTCCTTGGATGCCCCTACCCCAACCCCCAGGATGCCACAAAGGTGGCCAGCAGAGACTTGGGTCCTTGGGGAAAGTGCTGGCTGCTGGAGGTCCCTTGTGTGGTCTTGGAGGGTTATGGGCACCAAATCCAACAGTCTGTGGAAGTGTCAGTGGACGTTCCATGGCTGATGTGCCTCTGGGTGGCCTTGAGTATCACCTGAGCATTGTTCCAAATCAGGCCCTGGCTCAGGACTCTAGAAAAGATGTTCTCAGCTACAGAGGAGCGGGGGCTGCTGGTGGGGACCGGCTTTCCCGAGTTGGGGCTTTTGCCTCATTTCAGCCAACACATGCATTTCTTCCCCAAAGGCACGTGGAATTAATCAGATCTGCACTCAGCCATAATCATAACCACAGAGATTGATCACTCCAGGGAACATCGACTTGGAAAGAAGGATCTTCGGGAGTCAGAAACACGTTGCCATGTTTCTATGAAGATCTTTGGGGTGGGCAGCCTATCATAAATGAGCTTTGGGAAGAAAGGAATGATGGGGTTGTCACACCAAGCGAGAGGCCAGGCTTTGTGCAAAGGACAGCATCTCGCCCTGAGTGCCAATGCAGCCCAATGTGACTCTATCCTGGAGGTAACTGTCACTCGGAAACATCCCAGTGAGAATCGGAGGTTAAGAGTCAAACCTGCAGCCCTTGTGTGGCACGTCTCTCTGCCCATCTCCCCCAGGAAATTGTCCTGACTTTCAGAATATGGGAGTCTTTAGTGTTTGTACCCCCACCCCTGCCACAGAGGCCAGACTGTTTCGTGTTTGGAGACTGGACCTTTCCCAGCATCTCCCCAGCTTGGGACAGCAGTGGAGGAAAGTTCTCTCCAACCGAGGCAGGTTCTGAAACCCGCTCTGCAGCCCAGCAGAGTCCCATGACCTTGCTGCGTAGATGCTGCTGGAGGATGGGCGCGAGAGGCTGTGTGTGGCACCTGGGCACAGCCCCAAGGCTGGACCTCAAGGCTCTCAGAACGGACGACCCCGGCGAGATGTTGGAGCTGGAAATGGAGAGGCGCCATCCGGTGCGTCCATCCTCGACTCTTCACAGCATCATCTCCCTGTGAAGATCCGGATTTTGTTGATGGAAGCCAAGGTGGCCGTCACGTTGGACTCGAAGTCCGCATCATGCACCCCCGTCTTGCGAAAAGCCCCTGCTGATGGGTTGTTCTCCCAGTAGTGGTGCCAATTCCCTTTGCTGTCTGCCCCAAAACCATACAGGTCCACCTGCAGGGGAAAGCCAAGGTCAGAACCAGACAGCAGGCGGTGGGGGGCATCTCTGAGAAAGGGAACCTGTAGACATTCCCAGAATCCAACCCGACAGTCAACACCATTGCCAAGGATTCAGATCAACCCTGCGCTAGGTTCCTGGAACTCTTGAGGGCTTGGGAAAGCAAAAGCATGGAGATCCAGTGCCAGAAAGTGCCCGAGAAGGCACCTGCACATGGGTTCCCTGAAGGGCTGGGTCTCACCACTGGGGCAGGTGCAACCTCTTCTCCAAGGCTTGAGGAGCCACGGAAGGAGGAAGTAGAATGGAGCTGAATGCAGGGCAGGGCTCTAGGGCCAGGCAAAGAGCCCCAAATCCCAGCTCTGCCACTTACATGGTGGACCCTGGGTGTGTCACATCACCTTTCTGAGCCTCACTTTCCTCATCTGGAAAATGGGACCAAGAATCGGAATCACAACAGGGCAGGTGGGAGGTGCTGATCCTTTTCTGCTGAGGCCAGTATCACCTGGTCCAGGGGCCCTCACTGTCGAGTGGGTGGGGGGCCTTCCACACAGGTGGCAACACTGATAGGGCACTTACTGTGTGCCGAGCACAGTGCGGGACATATCAAAGTCCAGGCACACCTTTCACAGGGGCCTCCGGGTGGGTGCTTGGGAAAGTGGGGACCAACTCAGGTCTCAGCCCTCAGAGCTTATAACTGATGGTGATCATCAACTGAGCAGTCCATGGAGGGACCGGCTGGATTCAGGGCTCCCACAGCACAGAGGAGGGGACAGTGACCCAAGAGGCCAGAGGAAGCTCCTCTGAGGTGACATTTGAGGTGGGTCTTGTAAAATGAGTAGAAGATGACCAGGAAGAGACCATGTGGAAGGACTTCCAGAGAGAGGGCATGCTATCTGGGCTAAAGGACATTTTCATACTTGAGGGCTGGAGACAGTGGGGGCAGGGGGACAGCTCCGTGGCAAATGCAGCTTTTTCAGTATATGCCAGCATGGACACGAGTCCACACAGAGCAGGGACATTAGTGTCAGATAGGAGGGAGGAGATGAGAGTCACATTTCTGAGGCAGAACCTCAAGGGGTCTGTGACCAGTGCGCTGGAGGTGGAGGGTGGGGACATGGGAAGGAAACCCATATTTCCAGCTGCAGCCACTAGTGGCTTGTGGGAAAACAGCCGAGGCCAAGAGTGCGGACCTACCATGCAACCCCCTTGGCCCTTCCTGGGATTTCCAACCTCAAGCCCAGAGGGGTGGGGTTGGGGCTAGGATGCATGTGACACGAAGGGACATCAGAATGCCCTGCGTGAAGCCAGACCAGGGAGGAGGCTGGGGAGGTGGAGGAGGCGGTGTGGCCCTCCCTCCTGCTCCTGTGCCCGGGGTGGCCGCGAGCCTCAGATCATCAACCCCGTGGACGGCAAGGCAAGGCTGTGTGGGAAACGCACGCTCCAAAGCTGCTGGTTCTCAGCCTCGGTGGACGGTGGAACCCCTGCGTGCCCTGACCTCACCCCAGGAATTACGGTAAAATTGGGCCAGGATGTGGCCCGGGTGCTGGAATTTAGCTCCCCAGACGACTCTAAATGAAAAACTGAGGTGGAGACCATGGCATGACACCACTCTCCCTGATGGAATCCGATCCTTTATTTCCCTGCTACATCCGAGGGTCCTGGTTCTGCCACAGATGCTCACACAGAATGTGCCAGAACTTGTGCTCCTGAGAACTTTCTCATAGAGCACTGTCACTCCCTAACACCCCTGTGAGACAGCATCACAAGCCCCAATGTAGGAATCTGGGCTTCTGGAAGACACGGCTAGGCCCTCTTGCCCACCCTCTCCCCCGCTCTCTCAGGAACGCGGAGTGGCGCGCCTCCTCCTCCGGGCAGGCCCCTGGGCACGGGGCAGGGTGGCCTACCTCATCACAGACGTGCATGGAGAAGATGACCGAGAGGATGCCGGTGGACGGGTAGCGCCCGTGGCCCTGCAGCCAGCTGTCGAAGACGTACTTGATGAAGGCCGGGTGGTAGATCAGGATCTGCGGGGTAGATCAGGAGGATGCGGCTCTTCATGAGTTATGGTCGGCAAAGGACACGAAGCATCTATTAGGTGCCCCCCCACTGTC